TCATTTTCTTCTATTTTTTTTTCTGGCTTCAAACTCCTGTATTAGCCTCCCAAATTCTGGGATTGCAAATATATGCTACCATGCCCAGCTAGGCCCTCTCATTCTAAAGTGGAATGCAAATTACACTACAGTGTAATAAGTTCTGCAATAGAGGTATGTGCTTTAGTCAGGGTTGTGTATCTTGTGTCCTTCATGGAATCCAGTTATATAATTTATCTGCTATTTTTCTCCCTTCTCCTTGAATCTAAAAACCCTCTCAAAGAGAACAGCAAATCTCCTGCCAAATACATTCTTGCAATTCTTGTGAAATTTGGAGGGTATAAAGGACTGGAAGCTCCCCAAGCAGAGGAAATGATGAGTGAAGGGCTTGGGTCAAAAAGGAATAGAGTTTACTTTCCAGAGAAAGGAGTAAAGACACTAAAGAAACCAGCCTGAGGGGAGCAGGCATGGAAGGGAAGAATAGGAAGGAAACCAGCTAATACCAACTCTAGATTGTTCAAATGGCCAGGCTGAGACTTGGGCTTCAGTCTTGGGCAATAAGGACCTATTGTAAATTATCAACTCTGACTGATAAGATAAAAATGTTATTTTTAAGATTGGGCTGTCAGCAGTTATGCTGGAAAGGCTGGAAGATTCTGAAGGTCAGAAGGCTAGTGAGGCCCAATGAATACCTACTAAGAAGTCCTGTTCAGGGGACTGACAGTGAGAAATTGAAACCAGTTTCTGCCTTTAGGACAGTCACAGTCCATTGGAAGAGACTATTTTTTTTCAAATTCTTTATTGTGATTAAGTGGTTACATAATTTCCCAAATTTCACAGTATTGTGGGATAGTGATGCTTACAGTCACAAACACATTCTAACTTTCATGCAGCAAATTGTCTATCACAGTCTATAACATTTATGAGTTCTATTAGCTTTGCAATACAGTTATTTCTTCCACATTGGGTGATATGTACATTTCTTTTATTTTGTATAGCATCAGCTGTTCCCTCTTTCCCACTTGTTCCCTCCCTCCCATCTCTGCTATTGAGTTGCTTAGTTCATCTTGGTCAATGTCCAGTGCAGCTGATGAGTCCCACTGTTGTACGTTTTCCCCTGATTCCCTCTAGTTCTGTGTCATCCTCCTGGTTTCCCTCCGGTGTGCACATATATACTATATGTGATTGCAGCATGGGGTTTAGTAGTGATTCGACCAGATGAGTGGAAGTCCTTTGTTTCTTAAGTCTTGTTAATTTTGTCATATCACCTTACATTTTGGATTTAACATCCACTTATCAGGGTGACCATGTACCATCATTTGTCTCTTTGCTCTTGGCTTACTTCGCTCAACATTTCTTCTAGCTCTATCCATTTCCCTGCAAATGCCATTATTTTGTCTTTTCTAATGGCTGCATAATATTCCATTGAGTATATATACCACCATTTTTTGATCCATTCATCTGTGGTGGGGCATCTGGGTTGTTTCCATATCCTGGCTATTGTGAACAGTACTGCAATAAACATGGAGGTGCATGTGTCCTTGTATACGGGAGAGACTCTTTTAACAGGCATGATGTTTACCATACTAACCTGGGGTAAATATAGTAGAGTAAGAGTGGGGAGTCCAACTCAGGTTGGAAACAAAGGCAGATGATGGCAAGTTCAGTAAGCCATGCCTGCTGTAGTGGTTAGCTATGAGGAAAAGGAAAAAGAACTTTTAAGGGTGAGGCAATGGATTGGAACCACTGATGGGGATTATGAACCAAATAGTTAATGAGGGAGAAAGAAGAATGTTCTGTCAACAATGATTAGAGGGCATGGTTATGTTGTGGGTCAGGGTCTAGGATTCTCTACCCCTCTTCTATAAAGTTGGAAGAAGCAAAAGAAGATGTTGACAGGCCAGGAAGGGGGACGTATAGTTGTGCACCCCTGTGATGCCAACCCTCCAGACAGGAGATCATGAGTGTGAGGCCTTCAGTTGTAGTCTGTCTCAAGCAAACAAACAATGTTTGCTCAGAAAAAGAATAGGGTTGTGGGCAAGGATGGGAAGGGGAAACTGTAAGAAAATGAAGAGATAACATTGCCCAAAAAAGAAATATCTTCATTATTTATAAAATATAGCCCCTCTGTACAACACCTAAATAACAATAAAATTATTTTAAAGGGGCTGGGAATGTGGCTTAGTGGTAGAGTGCTTGCCTAGCATGCATGAAGCCCTCAGTACTACATAAACAGAAAAGGCTGGAAGTGGTGCTGTGACTAAAGTGGTAGTATACTAGTCCAAGCACAGTTCCCCACCCCTCAGTTATATATATACATATATATATATATATATTATATGTATATATATATATATATATAACTTTTTTAAAAAAGAAGGAAAGAGAATAGGGGTGGGGTTGACTGCAAAGAGCACCTAGAAAAAAAATTGAAGCTGTGTGTTATAGAGTATTAGGGTGCTGAGGCAAAAGGTAACTTCAGGCAGCCTGTGCTATATAGTAAGACCCAGCCCCCTCTGTCCCCCAAAAGTGAGAGGATTGGCGTGAAGAAAGGAAAATCACTGAGGTTTCTATTCTAGGTCTTGTTTAAGGAAGTGGTAACAAATATGCATTCTCAAGATTCATTGAGTTAAAGCTGGTGAGGGTAGCACACACCAGTAATCCTAACACTCTTGAGAGACTGAAGCAGGAGGATCATGTTGGAATTAAACTTGACCTACATAGTAGGACTTTGTGTTAATAAACAAAACTCAGTGAATGAAACACCAGAAATATATATATATATATATATATATATATATATATAATTACAGGTAAATTATGCTTCAGTAATAATAACTACTATAGTCTATAATGAAGACCAATGGAGGGTGTAAAATACTAGAATGGCATATATATATATATGTTTTGGTTTTTGAGCCATTACTGGCACTTGAACTCAAAGCCATGCGGTCTTACTCAGTTTTTTCCACTCATGGCTAGCACTTGAACCATACCTCCAATTCCAGTTTTCTGCTGCTTAATTGGTGATAAGAGTCTCACAGATTTGTCTGCCTGGGCTGGCTTTCAAATGAGATCCTCAGATCTCAGCATCCTAAGTAACTAGGATTATAGACATGAGCCACCGACACCCAATCAGACTGAAGCTGGATAGCCTAGGTAAGTGGAAGAGTTTACAGAAATAAAAGCTGGAAGATGATTGCTAGGAGGATGGCTGTCTAGAAGGCAGAGAGCAAAGGAGAGAAAAAGCACAAAATGCAGGCAATGTTTAAAAGAACTGTTGAGACACTTGAAAAGTCCGAAATTGGATCCATATTTGACCCAACCCTCTCTTCCCCAGATATCAGAATAAAATTTTTGTTTGTTTTTAGTCTTATTGACTATTATTTCACTACATAGTCTTGGGTGGCCTTGACCTCAAAATCCTCCTGTCTTGGCCTCTGGAGTTCTGTGATCCCAGGCTTATACCACTACACCAAAAGAAATAAATTTGTTAAAAATTAAACTTAAGTGAAAACTTGGTCTGGAGGCATGACTCAAGCATTTGCCTACCAAGCAAGAGCTCTGAGTTCAAACTTAGTATTTGGGGGAGGGGGAGATGAAAACTCCTAACAAATCATTCAGAAGGTGTCAAGGATATGCACCATGCTAGAAGGAATGGAGGTATTTTTTAAAATATATTTATTATTTTGAAGCCACATTTTGAGAGGTGGAGTTGGGACTCTTTATTGGAGAGCCAGCATCTGCAGGAGGACTCCTGTCTAAAAGACCCCACGAATACACTCAAACTGCAATCCACATGGTTTTGGCATCATTAGTCTCTTCACCTACAGGCCTGGAATTGCCTTTTCATTTCAACTCAGTGGCAGAGTGTGGGGAAGGCAAGATTAGGGTTAAGGAGTTGTAGGTCATCTAGAACAGGGATAGAGAACCTTTCCTTTTCTGCCAAGTAAAGCTGGTTATTTATAACATCATTCAAGGGCCATATTAAATTTATCAATATAGACAGGCAGCAGCCAAGAGCAGCCAATGAATAGCTTACAAGAATTATGTCTATTTTGTCAAGTACCAAATGATTTCTTGAGCCTTATATAGCCTTTGGGCCAGATGTTACCACCCTCAATCTAGAGAAATAAACAGCCATCTTTTTCTGTAAAGAACCAGTTAGTCAAAGTGGCGCTGTAACTCAAAGTGCTAGCCTTGAGAAAAAGAGTTCAGGGATAGCGCCCAAGTTTACACTCTATGACCGGCAACAATAAAATAACAACAACAATAACACAGTGAGTAGAAGTTTTAGGCTTTCAAGGGCATACAACTTGTCCCAAATATTCTATCATTTCTGCACAAAAGCAGCCATGAACCACATATAAAGGTTATGACACAGATGGGACCAGTTTGCTGACCTCTTTTTCTTGCTTCTGACTGCATATTAAAACCACTGGACAAGCCCATAAAATTATAGATGCCAAGGCTTTCCCCAACCCTCACCTCCAATTCTGAGTCTTAATCTCCAAGACTTCCCCACTCCTTTGTCTCAGTCTCTCAAGTAGCTGGGTCTACGTTACCATCCCCAGGTCCAAGCTTTTTTTTGGTAGTGGGGTTTGAACTCTGGCCTTGGGTGCTGTCCCTGAGCTCTTCAGCTCAAGGCATGCGCTCTACCACTTGAGCCACAGTGCCACTTCTGGTTTTCTGGTAGTTTATTGGAGTTCTGTGTCCCATGGACTTCCTGTCTGGGCTGGCTTTGAACTGCAATCCTCAGATCTCAGCCTCCTGAGTAGCTAGGATTATAGGTGTGAGCCACTGACACCCGGCTCAAGCGTTTTTCTTTTTAACCTATTTGGTGCTTCTGCTTTGTATCCTGGACAGAAAATCTTTCTAGAAGGCAGTTGTAACTGCTCAGGAAATTGCTAGAATGGGGAATGGAGAGAAATAAATGCTGGCAGGATAAACAATCCAAATTAAAGTCTAGATTGTCATTAGCAACATTTTCCAGCCACCTGACAAATGAAGGGCTTCTAATATTTTAATTAAATGTGCTTTATTTGATACTCTTATGTGCAAGACACTATAAGGAACTTCCCAACCCGGCATGTCAGCCCTTTCATCATCCGTAGTTAAGGCTGCTATGGGAGACAGGGACAATCAGCTGGTCACCTTCTACCTAATGGTCTTTCTCAGACCATTCTTTATAGGCCCCTGAGTAGTTCCGAGCCCTGTGGAGAAAAAGAGGGGAGATGGGAGGAGGTGAGGAATGGATAGGTCCAGTAGGCAGTCTCTAGTCATTTCCCAACTAGTAAGGCTGCCCATACCCTGTGTATCCGAGAGCTCGCGCCAGCTGTGTGGCCTGGAAGCCCCGCTTGCCCATCTGGCAGAAGAAAACAAGATTCTCATCTTCCAGCCTGGGTTTCTCCTCTGAGAACAAAGCCTGGAAAGTAGCTGGATCCATCCGCAGGGCACTTTCCAGCTCAGACACTGGGAGAGGACACAATGGAAAGTGAGTTGTGGGGCTCTTGGGTTCAGAAGTTGGGCCAAAAAGAGCTGCTTGCCCAGGGTGTAACAAATCTCCAGGGGACCCCAAAAGAGGATAAGGTGACCACCTCCCACACCCATCCCAGCCTTTAGGCCAAGCCTGCTTATGCAGGAAGTCAGCCAAACAATGTGAGCCACTTCCTGAGTCCAGAGAGGGAGGAGGGAGGGCACAAACCAGGGCATCTAGCCCCAGGGGTTCAGCATAAACTTCTGCAAGGCTGCCCTCTCCTCACCACCTGCTTCCCCTCAAACTGGACAGGCCAGTTCTGCTGCCAAGATCGCTGTCATCAGCTCTTTTCTAGGAAAGCTGAGGGCTGGCTGCAGAGAAGGTGGGTCCTGGGTAACAAGTGCCTTCCCCACACCATCCTAAGGGAGGTCCCATTAGCTAGGTCCACCGTGGGTTGTCTCTACTCAAGACAGGGGTAGGGGAGGGGCAGGGTGCGGGTGCTCTCAATCTCATACCAGGGATGTTGAGCGCACCCGGGATGGTCCCAGCAGCCGCCTCCTCCCGAGATCGCACGTCGATGAGCCGGGCCCGGCCCGAGGCTAGGAGTGAACGGAGTTCAGGGAGCGAGACTGTGGGCACTGAAAAGGGTGCAAAAGCCTTCAGAGGAGGGAGGCCAGGAAGCACGGCTGCCACCGTGCACCTTACCTGGCAGCGCTCCAGTCCCCAGTTGGGAAAGAGAACCTCCCCCTACGCTCCTCCCTCTACATACACCGCTTCACCCGCTCCCAGGCTACTGGCAGAACCATGCCCCAGGTCTCTATCAGGTACCTCCAGTCATGGTGCGCACGGCAATTTTGAGTCTTGGGAATGTGGAGCCAACCGGCCTCCTCAACGCCTGCAGCATCTCCCCTTCCCTCCCTAAGCCTCAGACCGGAACCGGAAGCAAAGACACCACCTCCCCCACCGCCCCGCAGCACCTGTTGGTTATTTCTAACACCAACCCACAGAATAAAACCTTTGGATTGCCCAGTGAGGACCGGAAACAACACCCTGGTTTGGCACAGGTGCGGGGACTCAGGGTAATGAATATAGTAGCAGCACCCCACCCTAATGCTGGCCTTATTGGTCAAAGGGCAATGTGTCTTCTCTCTTTCAACAGGGCACACGAAAGAAAGAAAAACTAAGACAACAATGGCTTGGAACATTTTTATTTAAAAAAAAAAAAAAGGGAAGAAAGAAAAAAGAGCCACCCCATTGGGGAAGGCCCCAACTGGGCCCCTGCCTGTTCTCCCTGGAGTCAGACTTCTGCATGGGTCTCAGCTGTTTGTTAGCCCAATTCCTCTTCACAGGACAGCAGCCACTGTTAAGCATCCTTCCCCCATTTCTTGATTAAGTCTGCTCCCTAGAGCCCTCGGTTGCAATCTGAACCTCAAACCCCAGCAAAAGGAAGAATCAATGGAAGCGCCAGAGTCCTGGGGCAAGCCAGAATATCACCTGTCAACAGACCTCTCTGCTGGGCACGCTACACAAGCACAGGGCAGGCCCCCACTTTAGTGTGTCCGGTATCCATCATGGAAAAAAGCCTGTGCAGACAAGCCTTTGTGTTGTGCAGGAGGAACACAGAGCCCAGGGACTGCATGGTGGCATGGGCAAGGCTGGAGGTGCATGTCCACACTGTGTCACACCACTGCAGGCTGCCTTTGTTCAAACACATGCCTTCTGACTCCCCCAGTCCTATGCCAGAGGCAGGCAATGAAGGAAAGGGGTGCTGTTGTTCCTGGGCTATCTGCAGTTCTCAAGGCCCAAAGCCCCAAAGTCCCCATTAGTTGCTGTCATTCTTGATGACAACCTCTAATCCATGGTGCCGCAACTGAGCTCGGAGCAGCAGATTCTTGTTTTTAAGATCTTCCACCTGACAAAGGAAAGAGGCAGTGAGGGGAATGGTACTGCCAAGCTGCTGAACATAGTTACATTCACTAGTAAGGAGGAAATGGTGAAATGCTCTCTACAGAGCCACAAACTGGGTCAGTGGACACAGGGTGGGCAAAGGGCCTAGACTGGGTTAAAAGTCTGACCTGCTGTCGAAGGACATCATTGTCCAGCTGCAGTTGATCTAGCCCTTGCAGTTCTTCAGACAACCGATGGTTACTCTGCCGAAGCTCCTGAATATAATCACAGGCTTTGGACAGAATTCCACCTTTACTCTGTAAGCAAAGTCACCATAATAAGTACTAGGCTGTAAGATATCTAACTTGCTCTCCAAAAGCACATTCATACTTTAGATCTCATTTCCCTTCTGGATGGTGAGGGTAACATCTCCCAAAAATATGGGAACCTCAGAAAGAGATGAAAAGACTGGGCTGGAGGAGTGTCTCAAGTGGTAGAGCAACTGCTGAGAAAGAGAAATCCTTAAGCTCAAACCCCAGTCCACAACCCCTCCCAAAGAGAAAAAGAGAGAGAAAGTGGGAGAGAGCAAGGTAGGGAGGGAGGGGGAGAGAGGGAGACAGAGAGAGAGAGAGAGAGAGAGAGAGAGAGAGGAAAAGATTGCCACGCTTGACCCCACTCTCTACCATTTCTGGAACCAATACCAGGAGACAAAATTCAGGCCTCCTGCCCACTACCAGGGTCTTTCCATGACCTGGCCAGACTTGGTGCTCTCCATAGAGCAGTCTGGGATGATCTTGGACAGTTGCACAATCCAGTTGTTGATTTTGTCTCGGCGGCGGCGCTCCACTGTGGGCAAAGTAAAGGACAGACAAGGTGATTCAATGAAAACACAGGCCTCAGAGTAAAATGACCAGTGACCAATACTTCTTCCCTCACACATCACTGCTTTCCCCAAACCTTCTAGGCAGCTTTGGGCTTTACAACTGCATAGTACCTTACCTTCATTATGCTGAGCTCTGCGCTTCTCATCCCGAGTTGTCCGGGGAGCTTCTGATTTCCTGACAACAGAGCCCAGGGAAGCCAGAGTGAAGAAAGTTCAAAAAATAAAACTGGAGTTTGGGTTGAGGAATTACCTAAGATTTAGCAGGTATTAAGATCACCCATGGTAAGTGAGAAAAAACAAGGGTCACTCACGGGGAATAAGGGTGGGTCCTGGGGGCAATTGAGCGCTGGCTCCCTCCCTGCAATACTTCTTGTGGTGACATCATCACAAAGAACTGACCTGTGAATATGTGGAGTGGATTCTGTCAGGACTGAGGACTAGGAACCCCACCAAGGCCCTGGGACCCTTCACTGAAAATAACATGCTCCTCCCTCCTGCTAATCGGGCAGCCCCAGACTCACTGTATGCCCAGATCTTAGCAATCAGTAAGGGTCATGTGGCTCATGGCCTCTAGCCATGTCCCACAACCCCTCCAAGTAGCATTCTCATCTAATAGCTCACCAGTGCTGGGAGGAGTTGCCTGCCCCAGGAGGGCCTCTGAGCCCTGGGTAGTAACAACAGCAGCTGTACTCCCAGATGTGGCACCCCCTGCCCCATCTCCCACTGCAGTGCTGGGGAAGTAAGTATAGTGTGTCTCAGCAGCTGAGCCCTCTGTGTCAACAGCATCATCACTGGTAAATGCACCCTGGATCACCGCCTGGGAAGGGGACAGAAAACAGTCAGATACTCTTCCCTCAGTTCCACTCTGCAGGAAAGAAGGTGCAATTTCCAGAAAGAGGAGGAAAGCAAAAGCTGCCAGAAAGAGAAAGCCTAGTGCCTTGGGTCAAGGCAGCCACAGAGGCCTCCCCACTTCTAGTTTTACCCCCATCCTATTGGTTCCCTTCTTCCTCTCAGTGCTCAGAGCTCTAGTCTCCTCCCCACCATACCCTGGTACCTGGGTCATAGATTGAGTGGCAGGGTAGCCACTGATGGCACCAGTGCCCTCAGTCTGGCCATCCAGCTGCCCCTCAGACACCTGGATCACCCTGTACATCACCTAGAAGCAGAGAGGAAAGGGGCAGGGTGGGCAGGGAAAGACAGAAGGAAAGAATAAATGCTGGGAATTCTAGAGACACTCATTGTTTCACTTGAACTGAGTGCCCAAACAGAACTCCTTCAGAGACACAGCTTCAACCATTTCCCTTCCCCATACTGAGGCTTCAGCATACACTTATACCCCACCAATCTCTCCTCCAAACATTCTAATATCCCCCACCCCAATAATTCATATTTTCAACCCATCCTCCAAGCCAGGTCTCCCCAAGACATGTTCAAATACCTCCCTCAATCCCAACCCCGGGTTAACACCTGCAGCCACCTGGCCCCCTCCCTTACCTGGCCCCCATTCTCAGTTCGGAAGACGTACTTGACGTTGGGGTCAGGGAAGGTGGCAGCTGACTGAATACTAGCGATAGCTACACTGGTTGGGTCTTCCCCAGTAGCCACTGCACCTTAAAAGAACCACAGAAAGCCTGTGACTTTACCACCTTTCCCCCTCTATTTTCCTTGTATGTCTTAGAAGAAGCATAATGCATAGAGATCGACTGGTCAACAAGTGAGGTCAAGATGGGTTCTTAGTTTTAGTCCTGGTGTCAATACTCACCTTCCTGAATCTGCACTGTCCCCTCTTCCGTTTCAGCTGTTTTCTGCTGCCTGTTTGTGACAAAATAAAATAAAATAAAACAAAGAGGGGAAAAGAGAAAAGGGGGAATAGATGGGGGGGCTGCTTGGTACATATTGTAAGCATGTGTGGAAATGTAATGATTCAATTCCCCCTCTGTTCAACTATTGTGGGGGCTCATTAAAATATTAAATTAAAAAAAGAAAAAAGATGTAAAATAGAAGTCATTGGTCCAGTAACATATGGCTCCCAAACAGATGCTGGGTTAGGTTAGAATACAACAACTAGTATTCACTGAGTGTTTGCCATGTACATAGGCACTAAGCCATGAGCACTTAACATGCAGTACTTTAATACTAATAACTAACATTTCCCATATTTTAAACATGGGCAAGACAAATCACACAGCTGTTAAGGGATGGAGCTGGGACCTGATCCAGGTCTGCTTAACTCCAGAGCTGGTACTCTTAGCTACTTTGCATTCTCCCAGGCCACCCTTTTCTCATCCTAGTTTCTGCCCATTTCACTCACCCCTTCATCTCTCTGAGAGGGGGCACATCCAAGGAAGTAGTCCTGTGGAGGTCTTCGTATCTCCTCTCACAGACCTGGTTGCTAAGTTCTTGTAGAAATCACAGAGTTTGCAGCAGGTCTAGGGAACTAAATGGTTTCCCTGATTCTAGAACCTAGACATATCCAAGAAAAGAATAAAACCATTACAGGGGACAATTGTCTCCTCTTGTCCTGCTGCAAGACAGGCTTACAGTGACTGAAAAAGCAACTCTACAAATAGTTCTTTGTCCTCTATTATCACTCCAAACCCTGGTGGGCAGGGAATAATTATACTGAGAAACAACACATTTTTGGATCATTAATAAGGCTATTATGGATTATTAGTAAAGTTATTATGATCTGCCATATCAGCAGCTCCGTGGGGATTAGGAAGGGCCTATGCGTGACCACCAGTATCAAAAAATTCAGGATAATGGACAATGATGTTTTTTCCATCTTCTCAGATACAGTACAGCAAGCAATCTCTAGTCTCCAATCTAGGAAGGGAGAACTTCAAATACCCTGCCACTCAGAAATCATCCCTAATCACAAAATCTAGACTTTGGCCTTTGTGCCATACATTACTGACACGGCTCTTGTTTGGGATATATAGGATTTATTATAGACACTGTTAGAGACACGAAAACCCCAGCGAATCACATTCCAGACTTCTCTATTTTAATTCATCTAGCTTTCCTGTAGAGCAACATAGTTGCTAAAATGTTGCCATGACAACTATGACTGAGCCTCAGGAAGAAGGGAAAAACTCCAGGCTCATGAACCTGAAGGAGAAAAGACAATGGGGGAGAAATCCATCTACAAGGTACCTGCCTCAGGTCCCCGACAACCACAA